CCTCGACGCGGCCCTCGCGGGCCTCCTTGAATAAGCCCGTCGTCAGCATCCTGTTGAGCACGGGGCTGCGCTCGGCCAGCACGGCGCGGTGCGCGTCCAGCTCCACGCCGTCCACCACCAGCTTCACGTCGCAGGAGCGGCTGCCCTCCAGGCGGGCCCGGTTGAGGTTCGCGCCCAAGCCGGACACGAGGTGAGCGCCGACGATGTCGTACACCCTGAAGAGGATGATGATCTTCTCGAAGGGATGGTCGGAGGGCAATTTCAACACAGATGACACAGTAGTTGATCCTGGCTGCAGGACGGCATGTGCTTCTACTTCCTTATGTCGGGGAGGTCTGGAGTCATTGATTTGGATATTCCAACGGTCACTCACGACCAACTTGCAGTGGACCAGGGTTGGCTCGGCGTTCCGGCTACCCAACGATAGCGAAACGGTGGTCTCGTTAGTGGATGACGACAATCCGACGACTGGAATGGCATTTGAGGCACAGAAGCCTACCTGCATTGGAGCTTGCATTGGAGCAGCCTGGGGCGGAGTGACAGTGAGGACTGGTGTGATGCTGACTCGCCCATCCTCAGTCTTGAGCGGCTTCAGGGTGGGTTTATATTGGCTTGTGACCTTCTGGAGGAGGGCTGACTGCTCAGCGACCAGGAGCAGCCTCATGGTATGGGGACGTGGATGGCTGACTGCAAGAAAATATAGAGTATCGAATTAAGATTCTGAAATATAGTTTAAAAAAAAACAACAAGGCGCGCCTGTATATGGCACATTTTATGTTGTGCCCTTACAGACACACATAGGGTTCAACGTGTTGACCAGTTTCCCGTTATGACTGCGCTCCTCGCACGCTCTAGCTGCCGTCCTCCGCCCGGGGGTTAGGCAACCCCTCGATCACGGCTGCACCAGCGGCTGCCCCCGCCGCCACCGGCACGGCGCTGCCGCCTTGGTGGCTCGGGGCGCCTCCGGGCACCGCGTCACTCCGCGACACTTCGGTCGGCACGTCCCCATTGGACCCCCAGCAGCGCGCCCCCGCGGAAGATGACCTAAGCCCCTCTACGCGCGGCGCAGCCGCTTCAACAAACTTAAAGGATCCCGGTCGCTGATCTGAAATCCTAGCGTTCAGGCTCGTGGGGACGCCATGCCTCTTCTGCCCGGCGATGGCCCCAGGGCGTCCCAGCTGCCCTGAATCCCGCGCCGCCGACGCCGCGACGGCATTGCTGCCGCCCGCGAGGCGTCCATGTACCCTGTCCTGCTGTTCTCGGGGGACCTCGTCGCAGGGACCCAAAAGTCTCGCGACGCCCAGCCCCCCTGGCTTGCTCGCGCTCGCCTCTTGCGAACTCCCGGGGCCCGCGGCCACCAGTGTCGGTGCCGCCGCCATGGCCCGCTCGCTGTCCTGCGCAGAAGTCTGTGGCTTGTCGCCGGGCCCCCACGGGTCCGACGCGCACCCCCCAGAGCTTCCTCGCTTCCTCTCGGCGACGCGCCTTTGCTCCTGGCCGACGTTGTCCACGGCAACCCCGCCGGGCTCCGTGCCCGGCCCACTGCCCACACTGCTCGCGACGGCCGCGGTGGGGGTAAATGCATCCCGACCCACCGGCATGCTTGCAAGCGGAGGAAGCTCGCGGTACCGCACTAGAGTTCCCTCTGAATCTTTAAAGAAGCGATTCCCTTTCCCGTCAGAAATGAAAAGGGGTTTATCGCTACTAGAGCTCCCTCGGGCCACGGCCGCCTGCCTCGGCGCCGCCACCCTGTCCCACTTGTCGCCCTGCACGGAGGCCTGAGGCTTATCGCCGGGCCCTCGCGGGTCCGACGCGCTCCCCCCAGCGCCCCCTCTCGACGACACGCCGTCCACCTGGCCCACGTGGCCCGCGGCCGCCTGACCGGGCTCCGGGCCCGGCCCGCTGCTGGCCGCACTGCCTCCATCTACTTCCCGGCGCCCCGGGTCGGCGGCCTCGCCGCGCGCGGCCTGAGGAGACACCTCAGGTACGCTCAGCTCAGCCGCCACCACCGCGTCGTCGTCCTGGCCGCCCTGCGCTGGCGGTGGCCGCTCGGGGCCCTGCTCCTCCCGCGAGCTTGACCCCGCCCGCTCCGCCACCACGCTCGGCATACTTCCAGACTGCTCCAAAACCTTTCCCTGAGTGATCCTACTGCCGGTTAGCACAGGGGTACTAGCCCCACCCCTGCTTGCCGGACCCCGGGGCCACTGCCCTGCGTCCAGCGTCACTAACCCTTTTAAGAGTGTGCACCACGGACTCTGCTCACCCTCAGCGGCTGCGACGGGGCTGTCGCACGCCGAATCTCGGGCCTGTCCGTCCGCACACCCGTGCAGCGCCTTGCTGCACGCAGGTTTGCTTTGCCCCCGCACTGCAACTGACCAACTCGGACAAGTTACATGTGCGCGGTGCTCAGCCCGTTCAAAGCAGTCGGTGGCCACATGTCCATCATGGAGCCCTGTGGCCACTCGAGACTGCTCGAACGAATTGGCATCCAATATGCCAACTAGACCACTCAAGTACTTATCCCCTAAAACTACAGCCTGGCTGTCTGAACTAAATTCTACACTATTTACAAAGTTGTCGCCGACCCCGAGTGTCTCACCCTGATCGGCCCCGCTGATCCCATCAGCCTCAGCGAGAGGCGCGCCCGCGCTGCGCCGAGCGCCGCGTCTCCGCCGCCGTCTCCTTCCCGTCCGTCCTACCTGAGGCCTTGCGCCCCGAGGTGCAGCCGAACACGGCGCCGACCTGGGCCGGCCCGGGTCACTGGCCTCCCGCGCGCCCCCCTCACCGGTGCGCGCCGCGCTGCAGGGCTCGCTGCCCCAGCGCTGCTGCTGGTCCAGCCCCTCCTCGGTCCCAAGCGCTCCCTCGCGCCGGCCGGGGGCTGCGTTAATCCAGCACCCGCCCGTTGTTTTCGGCGTGCCCCGTCCTGTCGATGACCCCCCGTTCCTCTCCTGCGACCCTTTTGTGTCCCCAGGAGTGCAGCAGGCTTCGGCGCCATGCTGGGCCGTAGCCGTGAAGCCGTGCCTTGCGGCCGGCCGGCTCCCCGCGCGCGCGTCCTGCTACCTGGCCGACAAACACGGCCCTCGGCTGGGGCGTCCCCGCGCCGTGGTGCGTTTCCAAGGCCCTCGCACCCAGCAAGCTGAGGAGGACAGTACACTGTTTGGAAAAGTGACCAAAATAACTACACCGCTGGCAACGCGGGACGCGCACCTGAGCGGTTGCCACGTCGCGCCCGGTTGAGAACAAACCTTTCCTCTTTGGGCCACTAGTCAATCTCTGGCCCAAAAATTCAAACTTTGACTCTCCTCCTGCTCGACCGGCCCGCGCGCGCCGCGAACCTCTCCCACGCCGTCGCGTCCTCCGCGGGGCTCTCCGGGGCGCGGGCGCGCTGCCCGGCGCCGACCTGGAGGCCTCACCGCACCGCTGTGAACACGTGGTGCTCTCGCGGCCGCCCGGGGCGCCGCTGTGACACCCGCACGAGCTCAGCCGCGAACACGCGTCACACTTACAACTAAAAATATTACTACACGAGGAGATGGGAGACTGCGCCCCATCCCCTGAACCACCCCCGGACCCGCCATGTGACCCGGACACGGATGGTAAGCACACGCTGCAAACATTGTGATCACTTCCTAACGTTCCACGCACGTGCGAAAACAATGACTAAAAATTTAGCAAAAACAAGACAGAAAACTCGAGAAAGAAAACAATTGCATTTCTAGTTTCTAAAATTCAAATTACTCTACAAAAAAAAAAAAACAACAGATTCTGCTGTCCTACCGACTGCGCCATTTGTAGTGAAAGCAAAAATTTTTGTGATGTTGTTGTTACTCAAAATGTGGCCGAAATTACTTTGGTGTGATGTTACTTGAAAATTCGAGGCGGGAGCAAAATGCCTCGCTGCGACTAGTTTGCCTCACTACTACTTTAAAATAATTTGACATCAGAATCGACTAATTAAAACTTGCTTTCGTGCGTGGAATATCAGGATATCAGGATCGGACAAGGGTATAACACAGGTTTCAAAATATAAATATATAATTTAAATCAGATACTTACATTACAAACAGCAGCAGCCACTTCGAGTCCAGGCCAGGTCCTAGGGGTGTCCTTCTTGTTGCTACGTTCTTCTTACTCTACTACTACTTGACTACTACTGACTGGCCGCTCCGGCCCCGACCCCGGAGGCCCCGCGCGGCGGGCCGCCCGGCGCCGCTCGTCACCCTCGGCAGGTGACCGAAGTGACCCTTCGGCTTCCCGGCCGACACGCGCGCCACGCGCAAAAATACGAAAAGTTACCAGCTTCGCGTTGACACCGCAGTTAGGCGGGAGATTTGAAATTAACAAGTTAAAACTTTAACATTAGTTGTTGGCTTGACAACAACTTGCCTGGGAATCATCGGGATAAAAATAAATCGAAATCAACAGAAATCGCTTGAACTAAGCGGGAAACTAGAGGAACTGGTACAAATTAGTCGAAATAGGCGTTTTCTACCACTGAAAAAACGGGAAAATATAAGGAATGAATATAAGCGGACAGGAATCTCTGGGAATCAAGAATTTCGGGAATCATGTGTACACTTCAAAAAAGAGTTATTTCCCCCTCGCTGCAGGGTTTACTGTAACTTTCGGCGAAATTCACCGTAAGCTTTCAACAGTGCGTTATCAGTGCGGAGTAAGTCAGGTGACACTGACATCGATTTTCACATTGCATTGAAAAGAAACTTATTCTTGGAGATCGTCTAGAAAAAAAAAAACGTCTACGTCTGTATATTTCCCGGTTGGCGGTACTTGTGTAGTAGAACTACTGTGCTCTGGTCTTCCCTCTGTCTAGAGAGAAAATATACCGCCACCAGCTGGGTTCGACCCACCGGCCACTGAACGATGCGCGTGCACCGAGGCGTGCACCCAGTCATAGGCAGACCAGCCTAAGGTCTCGATCTCCTCACC